CATTAATTAGTCGCAACTAGTCTCATACGGGTACTATTGGAGATCAATTAGTCTTGACTCATCCCTTACGGGTATAATTGGAGATCAATTAGTCCCCGACTCATCCCTAACGGGTACTATTAACGATTTAATGATATGTGCGCACTTAGTCAATGAAATTTCATGTGCGGCGTTGGCACACAGAGAGAGTATTCGCCTAACAAAACTGAGCACCCCAGTTCGAATCGCGGCTGGCGCAAATTTTTATTTTTATTTTTTAAACTACTCGCTTTTTATACCCGTTCGGGTATAAAGGTGAACAATTAGTCTCTTCATAGGACATGCTCGAACAAAAGCGATCAGTTCATTCCATATAAAGAGATCAAAAGTGGTATTAGTCGCATGCTCCTTTGCGATTGATCCCGGAGTCATCCCGGATTAGTCCCATTTTTTGCAGGGTATTTACTAGAAATCTACGATTTTATAATCTTTTCTGTTCTCCATACCGTCTTTTTATGTATGTGTAAAATTTCTTGATTGTATGTACTTTAGTACTCTTCGCGTCATGTCAGCGTTGGGAGAGACAAGTTAGTGTACATACACATACAACCAGACGACACAGTGCCTGCCACCAACCAAGAGTACACACACTCGCTGGCAGGTGAGCTGCACCGAACTCGTGCGCAAGTAGGCATGCGACTCATGAGCGCGTACAGAAATTTGCACGCCGTCACATAACTCGCATAAACTTCTCACACACACAAGTTGTGTCTCTGCGTTGTCGTTTTTATATTTTTAGTTTTTGTCTTTGAAGTGGACCGCGTCATACTTACGTCGAAAATTTCAAAACCAGCAATATCCAGTACACCAATGAAGTGTTGACGCTTTTGCTTAGTATCCAGAGTTTCGTTACACTTCTTGACCAGCCATTTGAAGAGACGATCGAACACACCCTTGCAGAGAGCACCAATAGAGTTGGTGACCTGTTGTACGTTACGACCCTGGGTGACGAATTCGTTACCGACCTTAATGCGGGGCTTCAACAAGTTCTTGTACAATTCGGCGGTATCACAACCGAACAACTTGGCAACACGGCCACCCTCTTCCTCGCCATCTTGTTCAGCCTGCTCTTCGCGACCACGTTGCTTGAACTTCATGCCACCCATGTGCATGACAGCGGCGGTGATCTTGTAGACATCCTGCTTCTCTTGGAGGGTGAAACCCAAGATATCAAAGGCTTGCTATATTATTTAATTTTTGTTTTTTTTTTTTAATATAGTGGGAGGGAGAAAGAATTGTAGACATTAGTTTTGATTTTGTATGGGCGTTGCATGTGATAGTGGTTTTGAGTAGTTGAAATTTTAGTTTTAGTTTTTTTTTTATATTTCGGCAGTTTTTTAAGGTGTTTAGAAAGCATATTTCTATACAGTTCTCTGTGCATTTTTTGTACAGCAGTGAGTGTGTAAATTTGTGTTTAAATACAGTTTCTTACAGTAGATACTGATTAACGGAACAAAATACATGCAAAAAAATTAACAACAACGTTCCAAAACTTATTTAGAAATATACATACATATGTGTGCAAATAAATATGTACACATTTAAAATTTCTATAGAAGCTAAGGCAAAGTTATTAAAAGATACGTTAGAATGATTTATTTTTTTTTTTTATTTTTGATAGATGGCTTTAAAATTTAATGGTGTACTTTTGAATTTTCTCAAAACTATTTTTCGTTTTTAATTTCTTTGAAAGTTTTATGAATGTTAATGTTTATTAAATTTTTTTTTTGCCATAAAAATATTTTTAGTTTGAAAGAATTGCAAATCCTTTTTTTACGTTTCTAGGAAAGGAAATATTTCAAAATTTTCCTTTTTGTATAAGAAATTAAAAAATTTATCAAAAACAATCCGAATTTCTTCGAAAAATAGGATAATATTTCGATAGTTTTCTTTTTGTGATCACAAATATTTTTTTTAACCGACTTTTTGTTTTGTTTTTTGCTTAAAAAGTACTTGGTGCAAACATATTTAAAAATTTTCTTTAGTGAACTTTTAGATTAAAAAACTTTAAGTTAATTAAATTTTTATATACCTACAAATGTGTATAAAGTTCAGTACAAAATATGTTGAAGAAAAATTTTGAAAACACAAATAAAGATTTAGAATATTTTCTTTTTTTTTATAAAACTAGAGAAATATTTCGAAAATATTCTTTCTGTGTAAAATATCAAAATTTTTTTTTTTATTTTTTTGAATTATTAAAATCATTCCTTTTAATCATTGAAATTAAAAAAAAATTGATTTTATGCTAAGCACTTAATCCCCTATCGCAAAATAAATTGTATTGAAATGCTTTAGAAGCAGGAAAATTGTATGGAAATGTCACTCCATAAAGCATTTCAGATAGTTCTTTTTTTCGAAAAAGAATTACAATTTATGTAAATGTAGAAATGTAAGAAATGTATTCGATGGTTTTTATTATTTTTTAAGCATCGGTAAAAAGTCTAAAATTAATTTTTTTTTTTTCAATTCTCATGTTTATTCAAATGTACCAATTGCAAATATTTTATGCAAATTTAAAACAACATTTTTAATTTAAAGGCTGAAATATTAAGTTTCTAAATATTTTTGTTTGCCTCGAAAACTTTTTTCACAAAAATACGCCATTTGAACCAGCATTCGAATTTCATAAAATAACTTTGCGTTGAATTTTTTGCTTATACATACATATGTATACAGTTTCAAATTTCCATGCAATTTTATACAAAACGTACAAATATTTACATACGTAACTACTAAATAAGAAAGCTTTTTCCTCACTTGATAAAATGGCGGAAAATACTTCGTGGATTGGTAAAAGCCACAAGGGTATAGACGTAAATTGATTCCGGAATTTTTTGGAAAGCGTAGAATGTCGGGGATACAACTATTTAACTAGTAACCATTTAATATAGGATATATGTATATGTAAGTTGCGTGCAAAAAAATAAAATCTGTTTATAAAAAAAAATAATATATTTTGCTGCCTCACTAGCCGTTGTGACTAATGGCGACGCAGATATGTGATCTTTAACAGCAAAAAATTTCCGGTTATCATGCTGATCTTAACTATTTTATAAATAAAAAGTACTAAAAATTTCAAGTAAACAAATAAAAACGCATACGAGCGAGCTTCCTTACAAAAACTAGGCATACACAAACTAGAATAACATAAACTAGCACTCGATGCCAAATGCAACTAAACATTCTGTTGTAGTACGCCACTACTATCGGTGCGAGAGAGAGCGAGAGAGAGACTCCCGCTCTACTATAAGGGTCTACATACGGCGTGCAGCTACTTATCAATCAGTCAATCACGCAGCAGACAATGAAGAAGGGATGCAATTTATTTAATTTTTGTTGATTTCTTTTTTATGGAGTAGTTGACAACACGCCGCAGAGAACACAAATGAGCTTTACTGTGATGCTGACAGACGTGTTGGCACAACCACATGCCGCATAAATACTAAATACATATATATTCGACGAAAGTTTTCAAACATACTCTAACCTAAGATCAATGATAATTAATTTTCTTTTCTCAAACACGTAAGGGCTTCAAAGACATTCCAAAAAAAAAAAAAACAACGTCATAGATGCAATCAAAAAGTTTAAAGTACAGTAAAGTGTAAAAGTCAAGGCACAAACGAGCGATCTAACGAAGAACTGTATATGTGTAGAAAGAGAGCAGATGTCAGGAATCTTCCCAGATGCAGATACGCATGTCACATATGTATGTAAGTATTTTTGTAAAGTTGTAACAAAGTTGGAGGTGTCAGTGTGGGTGCAGGTGTGGTGGAGTGGAAGTGTTGGTCTGATGGGCGGTAATTCACCACAATTATATGTATGTATGTAAAACTTAAGTATCGGTGGCATGCGTATACAAGTGTTTGTTGCATGATTGCATGGTACGTTGGAGCTGGTGGTGGTGGTGGTTTTGGTGGTGATGTTGCTTGCCTACATAGAGCCATCAACTACTCTATTTGGCTTGCTCTATGTAGTTTCTTTTTTCGATTGTATGTTGAAAACTTACATCTGCCAGCTGGAATTCCTCACCGTCATCCATGTTGGGTACAGTGACTTTACCCTGCGACACGTTATAGTAATCGTAAATGTTATCGGACAAGAGGCACATATCTGCACAGTAGTCGAGAGAAGAAATTTTTTCGATTTTGTTTTTCGATTATTCAAAATGTACTACATGACAATAAAACGTATTGCATTACAGTGGGTGGAGGTACATAGTATATAGAGAGAAAGAGAGAGATTACAGATCTGATGAATTGTGAGTGGATAGGATGTAGTGTTGGAGTTTTGTGTATAGAGTTCCCTTTAGGAGATGTAAATAGCAAATAAGAGATTGTGTTGAAGTGGAGAGATACAAGAGTGAATGTTTGTGTTTGTGGAAATTATTTAAGGTAATTTGCTCAATGCCTGGTAGACAATAATCTCCGGATAAACGTCGTTATCGATGTTACCCACAGCATGCCATATGCATGGGGTCGAAGACGTCGAAAACGATGTTAAGCGGAGATTAGTGTCAACCAGGCTTTGAGCAAACGGCCCTTAATGGAGAAACGGGGTTACGGTGGTAGCTTGTTGTTGTTGAATGGCATGGCGCGAAATGAAATTGTTACTCTTTTAACTATTTTTCTCAGTGTACGCTTGCCATATTCATAAAAAAAATTATTTAAAAAGCTTTAAGAACAGGAATGTTTTATGGAAATGTCATTTCTTCAAGCATTTTAAACAATTTTCTTTTTTCTTTTTGCTTTAAAATAAGACTTCATGTAATTTGTGTGTGTGTGTAAGGCAAGCTATGTTAAATTTGATAAGTTGGCATATTACGCTGGTATATCGTTGGTTACTTGGAGTAGGCGGTAAATCAAGGAAAAGGCTTTTGTTGTGCCGGCATCAAAACCACTGTACCAAGAATTTGAATTCAACCATTTAATGGACGTTGTAAAATATTTTGAATTCTATTAAAAATTATACATTTTTACCCTATTTGACCATTGCTGTTAAAGCTACAGTATTTACTTCACAAAAAAAAAAAAAGATATTAAATACATATATACAAATATTTATATAAGGAGATTTGTATTTGGATAATGAGGTAAATGCATTTCAAAAGGGCCAAATACTACTTAGAGTACTAAGAGTAGTAGTAGAACTACATATTATTACTACTGGGTGGGAGGGTAACTAGATATTTCTACAGGAGATAGAAATTCCGGAATAACGTTCGAAAATTAAATTTATTTACAAAGTAATCCAAATAGAAAATACCAGTAACATAAATACTTTAGGTATGCCAGTGATGTGAGATCCGTGTAGGTACAAAAATACATGTAACTATAAAATATTTTTGGAAAAGACATTAATACTATAACTCGGATTTTTTTTTTTATACAACGGAATGAAAGAAGAAATGGAAAAAAGAAATAAGTTTCCTAAACGGTTGAAATTTTTATTTATAAAAGATTTACGCAAGTACATATAAATACATGTGTATAGAGAATACTAGCAGATAATAGATACTCAAAGGCAGAGAGAGAGAGAAAGAGGTAGACAAAACGAACGAGAGAGAGAGAGAGAGAGTGCGCGCGTTTAAGTAAAAGTACAAAGAGAGTTTGTTACTAATTCATATTATTGGAAGCGGGTAACCATTACAGACTCACACCAACTTACATCAGTCAATTCAAATTCTTCGCCATCGTTGACGCCGGTTATCCTTGTTTTACCCTGACATATTCCAGGATAATCACCAATATGATTCGACAAAAATGTCATCTCTAGTATTTAGTTTGACATTTTTCGATATTTTTGTTTTTTCATAAAACGTAACGATATAACAATATAAAAGAGTAATGAATGAGTAAAATACTATGACGAAACGACAAACGCAAAATGCAGTGTATGTGAGAGGGGGAATAAGAGAGAGAGCGAAGGAGAGTGTATGACTGCTGCGAGAGCGTTTTGGGCTCTGAACTTATTGTGTAAGGCATATGAATGCTGATTTTTTATATTCATTCGATGTGAATTGGGTGCTGTGGGTCGGTACTTGTGTTCGGAATATATGTAAAATTGTTTGCGATTGTTGGCAGGAATTTATTGACTTCGTTGGTAAGGTGAGCGGTGTACCTAACCTTTTTTTTCTCTACATAGGTAATATGTTGTCGTAATGCTTTGTGGATATAGTTTACTTGTAAAGTCTTTTTTAAAGGGCAGCTTACAACTAGCTAAGTAGTTCACTAATTTTAGTTTCACTGCGACTAAGAAACCTACAAGACCATTTTTATAATACTGTTATCATAAAAACTATATAACCATTAAATACGTATACATATAAGTATATCTATAGCAGCAGTTTTATAAAGCAGCGTTTTCTACAAAGCTCAATGACAGTGTAAGCAAATAATTGTGAGTGATTTTATTTTTTTTTTTAAGGACAGTGGGATGAGTAAAAAGCGAGATAAGCTCGCAATAGCATGATAGTTGCAGCGAGTGAATATTTATGATACAACATAGAGTGTTAATTAACAGCGACATTAGCTGTTAAGTAGTGGAGGTGGTGTTGAGATTCTGTACAACAGAGAGAGAGAGAGAGAGAGCTGCAGATGTAACAGCTGTTAAGTATTTATTAGAGGTAAGTGTTGGTATTCTGTACAGCGTGAGAGAGAAAGTGTGAGAAATCAAAACCGTAGGTTTGTGTCACAAAGATTATTGTAAGTGACGATTTTGACACTTCGAGTTAAATATTGGCAGAGTGTAAATTATTTAATTTTAAATTGCACATTTTTCTAATTGATTTTAATAAGTATTTAAGTGCTTGCGGTAGGCTTTTTACAAAATCAATATTTTAAGAAATTGTTTGCGCGTCGTTAGACTTTTTAGACTTAGCGCTTAGTTGTGAGTCTTTTGTAAGTTTTTTTTCGTTTTTTTATTCTTTTAGACTGCTTGCTGATAGAATTCTTTTAAGTATATCATATTTTTTTTGTTGTATTATTTGCTTGAGCAGCATTTGTGAGTCACATTAATATGTATATATTTAAAGGAGTGTGTCTTCTTTTTTTTTCACTGTATCTTACGTCAACAATTTGATACTCTTCACCATCGTCAACGCCGGGTATTTTTGTCTTTCCATGCGATACGATGCGATAATCGTATATATTGTTCGATAGCATGCAATACTCTGTTGTTTTTGGGATCGTTGTTGTTGATGTTGTTGGCAGTAATGGTGGCGGTGGTGGATGATGATGTGGACAAATTGAGGTGTTGGGCAAATTTTTGGTGGACAATATGAATGTTGAAGGAATGGTACGAATGGAATACGAATTGGCATGATTTCGTTGGGGGGAAATGAAATAAAATGTGATAAAATTTGTTTTGAAAATACGTAAAAATATATGTATATATGTATATATGTTTGATATACAAAACCATAAGGATATGGAAGAGTGATTAGCGCTAAAATTGTATTCTTCAGAAAGACCTATCTTCGCTTTCTTTTTTTTTACTTTAATGCCAATCGCTCTTGCTTCAAAAAACTATGAATAAAATGTTTATGATTGACAATTCAAAGCAATTTAGTGTGGGTAGAGTGGGAGAGAGAGAGAAAGAGAGAGGGAGAGCTTATGCGCTCTCGTCTTGACATGTTTTGGTTAGTGATGCATAATTTACGTAGGGGAATATGGCTTGCGTTCGGGGTACTCCTGATGCTGGTTCTACTTATGTAGCTACATATGAATATGCAATTGCGGGTTGTGGGCGTGGCGCTCAATAAGCTGCAAGCTAACTACATTACAATACTGCTAAATTGTATACAATCGTGCGCTAGATAATAAATATATATAAAAAATGGATACTAAATACTGATTCTACAAATACAGCGGGACGCACATATATATACATACATACTATATATAGAAATAAATTGCATACAAAATATTTCAATCGATGTATGTATGTATGTATGTATACGTAGAGCCACTGCTTTAAAAAAATATTTTGTTAATGGTAGTACGAAATCAACCAAGTATTTCTAGGTAAGGTAGTATAAATTAACAAAAAATATAGAAATTTTTTTTAAATGAACAAAAATACTGGGAAATTACATCGGTCAATGTGAATTCTTCGGCATCATCGATACTGGCGACTGTTACCTTGCCCTGAGAGACAATGTGGTAATCGTAGACGTTATTGGACAACAGACAGATTTCTGAGGTTGGGTTTTTTATTTGTATATCGGTTTTTAATTGGATTTTTTGTTTGGTTGATAGATTTTTTTTTTTTTGGTAAAAAAGTGGAAAGTTAAAGATTAAAAAAATTAAATATTATTATTTATATAGGTAGAAATAAATATGTGTGCATTGATGTTGTAATTGTAATGTGTATTTGTGATAATTTGTGTTGGGTTTGAGAGGAGTGTATGGTATATCGGTCGTAATGGGTTCATACTTTTGGTGCGTGCTTGTAATTTATGGTTGTATATTTTTGGTAGCAAGTGTGTGTGTGTGTGTGTGAAGTGTTTGGTGGTTTAAGTTATGGATATAAGGTTGAAGTGTGTGTTGTTGTTTAATATAAACCTAAATTTAAAGTAGTTGTTTTATAAAACAACCGCATATTTTACGCTTATTGCGCTCGAAAATATATAAATATATTTTTCATATGTATGAGCTTTGGTATATTTTATATCGATACCCTTTTCTCTAATGCGCTATGATTGTCTCGTTTCATGGTAGTTCTTTTCGATGTTGTTGATTTTTTTTTTTTATATATAGACATAATATCTTGAAAAGTATGTATGTATGTATTATGTTTTTTTTTTTTTTTCTCGGGGCGAATGAAATGCGAATGTAAATGGAAATTTTCTTTGCTATACCTTTAACTCCAGCAACGGAACCAGACATGATCTGGTAGAAGATGTGGTATGAACGTTCCAAAGATTGCTGAGAGATGACACGAGCCTTTTCCAATAGATCTGCAATTAAATGGCACAGAGAGAGAGGTAGTATGTTAAATATTTGCTCACAACAAGTACGCCATGCAAACTTACAAGTCTCAATATCAGCACCAGCCAGTTTACCAGTTGGGCCGAAGTGAATACGGATGAATTTACCCTAAACACAGCGGCAAGTAGTGTATGCAGAGAGTAAGAGAGAGAGAGAGAGAAAGTGTTGCATGTGAGTCTTATTTTTCTTCTCACACACACACACACAAGTTCACAATACTTACGAAACGCGACGAGTTATCGTTACGCACGGTCTTAGCGTTACCGAAAGCTTCCAGTACAGGATTAGTTTGTACAACCTGATCTTCCAGGGAGCCCTTGTTCTTCTGCGATTCATCCTTCTTTGTTGAGGCGCCCACAGTGGCGAAGTACGCAATTACCTTCTTCGTGTTCTCAGTCTTACCAGCACCAGACTCACCAGTAATCAACATAGATTGATTGACGTGGTTGGTCAACATGTCGACGTAGGCACCGTCAGAAATGGCGAAAATATGGGGTGGCACTTCATTACGGCGCTTGCCACGGTACATCTTAGCGCAACGGTTGGTATATACGGGGTAACGCTTGTAGGGATTGATGGCAACGCAGAAAAGACCGGAGTAGGTCTGCATTACCAGAGAGAGAGTGGATGGGATGATGAGAAAGAAAAATTTGATTGATTAATTTGCATTGAATTTAAAGAGAGCGAGAGACATTTGCTTCAAACAGGGAAATAAAAACGGCATACAATATGTAAAGGAATGAAAATGGAATGGAAAACATTCGTTCGTTATGAATTGAAATGACGGCTTGCGCGACAGTTGTGTCACACAAAAATGACAACAAACTGAGGACACAAAATCACTAATATAACCATTATCCGGGTCTTTTGTTTTTGTTTCGTGTATAGCTCCCATTGCGATCGCATACAAAAAACGGCCCAGAAATTGGTTTGTATATTAGTGATTTGCGACACAGTCCGATGGGATGTGTGTGGTGGCGTTAGTAGGAAAGTTTACAATAACTTAACTAACGGTTAGCCAACTAATAACTAATTAAAAAATTAGGGTATACATAGTATATGTATATAGATATGAACGATATTTTATAAAATGTTTAGCATTCACTTTTTTTTTTTTGATTTGATTTGATAAAATGTAAACGCATTCCGAGTATTTTTGATGCATACAGATGATTTTCGATACGATTTTTTATGCTTTTCTCTTTGTGATTTTTAAAATTTATTATTTTATAGTTTAGCGTGTATGATTTGTGTTTTTTTTTTTTCGTTTGTGTCGATTTTTTGATGTTTTTTATGTGCTGTTTCATTCAACTAAGTATATATATGTATATATATAATTTTTGCATTCCATTCACATGACAAACGAATTTGATGCGTTGCATGCCGTAGTTTCGCCATCTCCGCGCTTGCCAGGAAACACTTAACGTACTCCTTTGGACGCAAAAGATGTGATGTGTTTGTGGTGGGGTGGTGGTGGTGGTTGTGGTGGATTTTTATGTATGGATTGTGAGGCTCGGGTAAATGTGTAATCCATTCTTGAGAGAGAGTGTATTTTTAATGATAATCGATTTTTACTTAAAATGTGTATGTTTGTGGGCGCATGTGTAGGTATATGTGGTGTGGTGTAATGCATCCAATGTGGTTTTTCCAGTTTCAGTCAATCCTTCTACTGGGTTGCGGTGCTTTGGTGCTTTTGTTGTGTTTTTTTTTTTGTATGGCATTCACTGATGAGTTGGTGCAAGAAATTACCAAAAGTAATTGGTATTTTTTGCTTCTTGTATGATTAGTATGTTGCGGTGTTAGCGCATTTGATAAGTGTTTCTACTACTGATGTGGCAATGATACTTAGTGACGTGAGTGGTTAAATAGGTGGTGAGAAATGCGATGAAAAGATTGCCAAAGTATTAAAGTCTGCTCAAACAGGTGCCGACCGATGCGGTGCGGTAATATCTCGTACGATTTGCAACGTTTAATATTAGGTTTGTATAGTAACCAATAGTCAGTACTAATTTGTACTGGAACCTGCAAATTTTTACTGGAAAAGCGTATGATAACCCAAAAAATTTGCAAGAGAGCACTGAATCGAGAGCGTAACAACACGGGAGAGCTGCAAATTCTTGCTAGTGAAATTTTTACTAGCAGAAATTAGCTAGCTGAAGAAGAAGAAGAATAAATGTCAAAAGCCGCCATTTGTTGAATTGGTTTAGCACAAACAAAAGTAAAAGGAGTTTAAATCAAAATATTGTGACTGTGTAAGTGCTTGTGTGTAAAGCAGAGTTTAAGACTGATTTATAAATAGTAAAATGTTTACAGCAGAATGTCAAAACAGTGCAACGACTGTTCACTTGCAAGTTTTTGCTAGTTTTGTGTTCATAAACTTTTTCTGCTAGTTTTCTCTTCTTATCAATTTTACGCTCTATTTTGCTTTTACGCTCTCGCTGCAATGTTTTACTGGAGAAGTTACTATACAAACCTATTATCGCAGGATATAAGAGCACTCAAGAAACTGCGCGGAACAAGTGGACATTTCCATCGTACAGGATTGTACTGCCCAATACCGTACCGCGCATGTTTGAGCACGCCTTTATTACAGTGTGATTGACTTTTTGTTAATAAAAATTATTATTTTATTTTTGGTACATATACTCGTAGTGTCAGAAATGGTTTTTAATTTAGTTTTTTATTTATTTAGTAATAAAACTAAAGAAAGGAATTTTTTTTTTTTAATTTTGATCACATTTGTTACACAGTGATGGGATAGCGTTGACTTTTGTTTTTTTAGTTTAAACACCAAAAATATTTATATGCAAACTTTTTAATTTTTTTTTTGAATATTCATTATTAATAAATCTTAATTTCTTATAATAAAAAGCTATCGGTTTTTCAAAATTTTTACTTTGAATAAATTTATTTTCTACTAAAAATCAAATAAAACAAACAAAGAAATAACTTCCACAATTCTAAATAAACTCGATGAAAATATAACCGCCAAATTATATTAAAATAAAAAGTTAAAAATACTTTATTAAATGACATTTCCTTACATTTTTCCTATTAATAAAGCATTCTAAATTCATTTTATTTTCAATGCAAAAAGACGATTTTTTTCATCGATTTTAGTTTACTTTTCTGATTTAAAATTTTTGTGAGAGTTATAAACTACGCGAAATATATTTTTCGTTGTCAATTAACGCTCTTTTAAGTTTCGTTTTCTTCTGTGTTTACAAAATATGTATTAACTTTTATAAATTTTTTATAAATTAATTTGAGAAGACATGTTTCCTCATTACATTACTGGAAGCTGTTAGCCCTTTTATTAAACAGAATTTTGCATTAGTTTGACAAGTAATAGCTTTTTTTTTAAGTCAGCTGCCTAAACATATTATGCCCCACATTCACTGGGCGTTGAGATAAAAAATTTAATACAACTTTTATGTTTGGTTTTCACTCGACATTGCATGACAAAAGTGATATTTTTTTATATTTCACTGCCTTGTGGAAATTCGCTATTAAGTCGGTTTTCATTTAAATGTAAAATTTTGTTTCTTGGAATTCTTGCCATTGCAATGCCTAGTAGGAATTCGGTATTACTAATAGTATATTTTTTTTTTTTATTATTTTTTAAAGTTTTCACTGATTGTTTTATGATTGGATTGTGTGAGTATGTATGTGTTTATGTATGACAGTTGAACTACTGGTATGCATACTATTTTTTTCATAAGTTTATTAAATACAATAACAAATACAAAGGCAATTAAAAAAGCAAATACATTCAAAGCAAACATAGCAGGTTTGTTGTGGAACCCGTTTCGTTTGAGTTCATACAACCGGTTCCCGCCATACTTACGTAGATAAGCTTGTTGTAGTATCTCTGTCTCAAGTTATGGAGCACAGAGGCGTCGTTCAGATATGTCAAGTTGGACATATCCTCAGCTTTTTCGTATTTTGGAGGATTGACTTGTTGGAGCTGATCTTTCTTGAAGTCTTTCGTCTTTTGTTAGCGTTAGCGTTACATTTCATGCGTTTATTATGTCATGTTTATGTTTTTAATTAATATTTTTTTTTTCAGTTATGCACCCGATTTTTTGAATTATTTTTTATTTTAATTTTATATTTACATTTGTTTGCATTAAAATCGTTAGGGATTTTTCATTGGTTTTTTTTTTTTTTAATGGGTGAGTATTTTACAAGTGGAGGTCAGAGAGAGAGAGAGAGAGAAAAAAGAAAGCTAGATTAGTGTTACGTTCTGGCGGAACTTACGTAGATCAATTTGGCGTAGTAACGTTGTCGCAAATTGTGCAAGACGCAAGGCGTATTGAGCACAGTCATGTCGGCCATATCTTCGATTTTTTCGAATTTCGGAGGGTTCGTTTTTTCAACCAGGTCGGCTTTAAAATCCTTTGTCTATTGTTTTTTTTTCATAGTCATGTGATAGAAAATTGAAATTATTAAAATTTTTTGTTCTCTACGTTAAAAAGCTAGTTTTCGCCAACAAAAAAAAATTAAGGAAAATTAAATTTAAAACTTAAAAGCATCAGAAGAATGAAGTCTAAAATAAATTGAAAACAAATAAATATCTAACTATTTTGAATATGAATTTTGTTAAAATTTTTTTTGCAGCAAAATTCAATAAAAAACTAAAAGCAATAAAGTTATTGGAAAAAATAACTAACGGCCGTCAATAAAGCTTTCTGATCGATATCAATTTTTTTTAGCAATAAAAAACAAAAATAACGCCTAAACTTTGTTTACTAAAAACGGAAAATTGACTTTACTCTTCTTGCTAAATATATATCTTTTAGCTTCATATGTTTCTTTTTTTCTTGCAACAACGCTCAATTTCTTCGCAAATATTTTTTGTTTTTTTTTTGTAATTTGTTTCGTGTTGTTGTACGCCAATTCTGCATACACCCATTGGTTTACGCATATTTTACCTCACCGCCGGGCAGGCCCACGGAGACAATGTCACCCTTGGTGGCCTTAATTTCACCAAGAAGATAACCCTCCTTCTCATCGGGCACCCAGCAATTCTTCTTGGAGTCATAAGGTTTCGATTGATCGATACGTCTTTGTTCCAAAGACACGAACAGATATGGGGTTGGATCCTCATCCTCCTGGCTAGCAATTGGCTTCGGCATCTTGGTTAAAGATTCGCTTGTTTTTTTAACGGAAAATTTAAATTAAAAAATATATTTTAAAACTCGAGTGAGAGTCGGGGCTTGAGTGCAAAAGTCGAGGATTTTTGCAAAATTTTCCTTCTATTCAATTTCAGATTGAAGTTTTTCGCGTCGTCTCAGCCCAAATGCTTCCCTGTAAAAGAAGAAAATAGAGGACATTTTATTAACTTGTTTTTTTTTTTTTAAATAATTATTTGTAAATGATTACTAATTTCTATGCATATGAAAAACGAGTAACAGATGTTGTTGGTTAAGGTGCAAAGACGGTCTTTGGCAATATAATAAAGTGTCGTTACTAGTGCTATATAGTTACTATAATTTTTGAGTGAGGTAAAAAGTAATCTCATAGGTTTGTACAGATATGGCAGCACTGGAGTCATTGCAATTTTGCTGAGTTTTAAAGATTTTACAACAACTCTATAATAAGCTCGATATTTGGATTCCATATGAACTCAGACAAGTTCATTTGAAGGTGCGTGAAGATATCTGTGATATTCTGGCTGAAGTAGCATGTTTGACGGTGCATTTTTTTTTAAGAATAATAACTCCTTAAGAAAAGTGGATTCTTTGCAATAATATTTGTATTTGCCATAACGTTATAATTTGTCTAAAGCGACACCAAGAGCAGAACTCCGTCAAAGAAAAGTTGTGCGCTCAATGTGGTAGGTATGATGAACTCCTACCAAAGAACCGAAAAATCAATTCGGATGGATGCTGCCAGAAAAGACCGGTGAAAAGGTAATCGAACAAAGCGGCGAATATATCTTTGATAGATCTTTGGATTTTGTTGTAAGTAAATTACTTTGAAAAATAAATAAAAAATATGCAATAACTTTTAGCTCCACACAAAAAAAAAATTAAAAATTATAAAAATCGATCACATTTTCGTACTAATAACTTTCTTTAATCTTTTTATTTATAAGTTTATTTTCGAAATTAAAAAGGCTATAAGCTATATTGGCGGACTACTAAATTTTACTTTTGGTTTTTTAATGCAAATATGAAAAAATTAGTGAAATAAGGTTATATTTTCGGCTGCTATTTAGTCATAAAATTTTATTTATTTCGTTTAATATTTTCATATTTTTTATAAGTAGTATTTCAAGCCTATTATTTTTTTATTAAATAGTTAAAATCCGCTAATTCCAAATTAGTTCTTAAATATTTTTTAAAACCTTCATTGCGGTTTATTAATCAAAAATTGCATTCAACCAACATCTATTACTCCATTATCTATATCTATATGTAGTACTATATTTTTTTAAGGTTGTGTATTTCCTCGTTGACAACTAACTGTTGTCCACATCTCGAAAGAGAGAGAGTGCGAGAGGTGAAAGAGAGATGCATGATAACGCATCGCCTATCGGAACTAGTCGTGTGTGTACACGAGGTCGCGAGAGGCAGTGAGAGAGTTTATATTTTACTAAATAATTTTTGGTCTAATTCTCAGAGCACTTTGGGTCAAGATCATAAAATAAAAACAACAATCAAAATTAAATAACATTCCAAACAAAAATGTCATTTTATGATTATCATCAGCAGAAGCATTTCCAAATAAGTAAATAGCTATCCGCAATTCGCAAGTTCGCAACAGTTGTCTTTGTCATAAAATTGGTCATTGTTATTGTTTCGCTTTGCTTCGCCGCAACATGTAATCGGATAGTTTTTCGCTTGAGTAATTTTGCCATGAGTACATACATACATACATACATGACACCTATTCAACGGGCAGCGAAATTTGCAGGTGTGCTAAGAATGCGTGGGGCTCATGGCGAAGCAGGTGCATACAGATGTACATACTACATCGTTACTGCACAGTGTGGGACTGTGTTACTCATTTACTGTGAGGCTGTTTTTTTTTTATTATTGCTTGTATTCAACATCTTAACGAAAAAGGCTCTCTCAGTTAGTCAAGTAGCTAGGACAGGAACCAGCGGCACCAGCTCTTTGCAGTGTGCGGCGGAAATCGCCCACCTTGGCGCTCGGCGCTCAGCTCGATAGCTTTTGCTTTGGCTTTGCCAAGTGTGCGCGTGTATGTGTGGCGTGTGTGGGTTGGTGTCTAAAGATAGCACATAGCGCTGTCGTAAGCTCACTGCCGTTTAGAGATCTAAATCTACACATGTACCTACATATGTATATATATGCATGTGGTGTGTGTGTATTTATGCATGGCTGCCACGAATACCTTTCTATAAATAATTGAAATATTTAAATGTACATATACATACATACATACATATGCAATATATGTATGTTTTTGTGTATGTTTTGGACATTAATGCGTTTGAATGTGCGCCGATGCTTGTCTGCTTGTGTGTGTTTGTATGTATGTATGTATGTGTGTGTGTGTGTGTATTGCCATTTTGGGGCGGTGGTGCAGCTGTTACGTAAATCTTTCGAAAATTCGCAACATTTCCGTTTAAAATAGGGGAAAAATTATAATTTACAAATTAAATAATCAATGCATATAAAGGAGGAGGCAAAAATATTCATAGAAAAATATTGGCAAGCGATGTAGGATTTTTTTTGCAACAAGTCAGATTTTTAAAATTTTATTTTGACACTTTGAAGACAAAAAATTTAGCATAGGTTTGCTTAAGCGAAATATTATATAATAACGCTTTTATTTGCGGATAAACTGATAGTGAAATGCCGTGCCGCAAATGCTTTTTGAAACACTCGGAAAAATATTTAACAAAATCTTATAATTTTTTTTAATATCACTGCACATTTGCACTGTTTTTTTTTTGCATTCGTAAGAGTATTTGTTTTTAAATTATTTCATTATTTAAAATTTTTTTACACAAAATTTATAGTCGCTTTCATTTAAAACTTTTCAGTAACCACTAATTGCTTTTTGCCACTACCACTGAAAACTTGCTGCTCACCTACTTCACGCGCAGGCAACAGCCGTTTAACAATTGATTCTCACTTTTCTAGGAAAATAGTTTTTAGTTGTTCATTAAAAGAATTTCGTTTTTTTTTTCTCAAGAAAAAACCAACACAAATATTCTGTTCGCTTATTCGTTTTTAAACAACAAAAAAAAGTAGCCGTCTACAAAATCAGAAATTGTTGAGCTAAATTGATCGCTTTCTAACCGCTTCCGCACAAGAGGAGCTCTGATCTAAAACGTCCGAGTTGCGAGATCGCAATGAATTGGAAAACACGAAAACTTTGTCGTTTTCGAAACTCGCAACTCAACAAAACAAATGAAAGAGTGCACGAAAAGCATACATACATATATATGTACATACAAACATACACACGTAGCTGAACTATTGAAAAATAACTAAACCACAAAAACAACTAACTAATAGCAGAGCAAAGCAGCGGGGCGGCGCGGCGCGGCGGGCGCGTTTTTCAAATACACAACGCGTTATTTTTAAAAAATTTCGGCATTATTTCGAAACCGTTCGCCATATGTGCATCCATACAAACATACATATAGGCGAACACACACACATATGCAAGGCCTTTCTTTGCGCATAGCTGACTATTCTAGCGCGCACGAGCAGCGCCGCCGTCGTCGTCGCCATGCGAAAGCATTTCGGCCGTTGGTCGCCGTTCGCAGATCGCCGTCACCAGCAATGCCCAGTGCGCGATCACATATGTATATGTATGTATGTATGTATGTATGATGCATATACGTTTAGAACGATTTCTATTTCTATCGCGCTCTTTCACCTTGCGCTTTCTCGTCGGTATGTATGTATGTATATGTGCGCTGTTGTTTTTCCTTCTGTGCTTATTGCCTGAAATACTGAAACTCTTCTCCTGCCACATCTTTTGCCTGCTTGTGAAAGCGTCTCGCAATTTAATTGTTTCTTTTTTTCGAAATATTTTGTACGCAGGTATGAAATCATGAAGGCAACGCAACATGTTCATTTTAGCTGACAAGCCGCCAGTCTGCCAAATTGCCAAGTAGCCAACATTTTTGACTGTATCTGTCGCACAAATCGGTTTTTCAACACATTTTCGTGTTTTTTTTTTTTTTTGTTTTTGTTGTGTTGTGGACCTAACTAATCTCTTTCCTGTTGACTAAAGTAGCCATTGTATTGTACTGTTATGTACCTACATATATGTGTTTGTAGTTTGGCTCGGAACTATATATGTATGCAAGTATGTGCTTGCCTTTTAGCAGCCATTTTTTTTTTTTTGTGTTGCTGACCGCAGTAAATTGTTGTTGGCTTCACATTTGTGTGACTTTTGTATGTGTTTTATTGGGATAGTTCTATTTTTGAATACCCATGGCATGAGATACACATTTTTTCTCCAAAGTTTTAGCGAAAAACTGAGCGTAATCTAAATGTTTTGAAAGTCTTCAAAACTAAAAGGCGGATGGATGTGTGTGACATTTTTTTTTTGTGTAAATTCTAGAAACCCTCTATACATATGTACCGAGATTTAAGGATTTTTTGCTTATTTCGCTTCGAATTCGATTTTGCAATTTTGCCCGGAAAGATATAAAATGATTTAAAATGCTTTTTAATCAGGTAAATTGTATGGAAATGTCAATTAAAATTGCATTTCAAACCATTTCAATCTTTTATAGAGCCAATCAATAGTATCTTTATAAAAGTATTTAGCTTATTTTGAATATAGAACTTTGAATGCCTTATTTTTTTATTTCCAAGTGTTTTTTTTTAACCGACTTCCAAAAAAGGAGGAGGTTATCAGTTCGTCGGAATATTTATTTATTTTCTTATTTACATATGTTACCGCATAACTTTGGACTACGTTAACCGATTTCGGTAATTCTTTTTTCATCGGAAAGGTGGTACCTCAAGGATGGCCCTATAATTAACGATAATCTTAAATTTTTATATGAGAATTGAAGTGGGTTTTTTTGGCTTAAAAATTACTTGTTTTTGTTAAAATACTAATATCATTGGCACAGGCAAGGTCAGGGGATAGCTCTTGAAGAGCTGATTTGAACAACAACTTGGCCAAAATCATGTCGGAGCCAGTTAACTCTTTCTTGACTAGATCGTCAAAGCATCCGAAGAACTGTGGCATCTTAGATCTAAACACATTCTTGGAATTTAGAAATGTTTCCCCTAGGCACCTGTCCTCCTTACATAAAGTACAGCTTAGCTTAGGATCCGTCCTTCTAAAAGTTATTTTAAATTCTAAATAGATGAGCATAATTATTGCCACATGGGGCTTACAGTTTACAGTCATCAGTGATTTTAGTGTCCCTCAGTTGCCTTAAGTGTCTTAGGTCTACAGCATATATGTATCTACTTATATACATAGGTATCTCTTTAAAATCCGATATCCTTTATTCGCATCACAAACTCGTTCAACTTTAATTCGAGGAAGTTCGAATTAGATTTAATGCAAAATTTTTTTCTTTCAAACATAACAACGATAAATGTTTATCAAATGATTATCTAATCTCGCGAGGCAAAGCTAAGGTCATCTGATAGTTTTCAGTTAACCTAAATTCCACCCACTGCTAGCTGAGAAGTTTTCGAATGTATTTCTCTTTCTATTTTAATCCATTCATACACAAAAAATGTATTTAATAGAAATTTTAAAGGCTTTTTAATGAACTATGTGTGTACTTTTTGCACACCAGTTAACTCTTAGTTAATTTTTTAACCCTAAATGGAAATGTTTTATCATTTCCATGCCCCAATTGAGATATTGAGACTAATTCCAATTAATTTAATTAAAATCTTTATTAATCATATTCGAACATTCAGCGGATCTTTCCCAGAGTCAGCTGCCACCGTGGTAGCGGTGTTATCTAACCTCGAACCTCTGTGTCAGCAGTTTGCCTTTCAAAAGTTTCAAAACCAGCTGCGCTATGCCGTTTTTCCTTAGCATTGAACTTTTCACGCACTATTTGGAACTAATCTTGATTGAGTATAAATAAATAGTTTCATTAAGAAAAATCAGTGCAAATTTGCAATTCACAATAATCGTTTTTTTCTTGTGCAATGTCTTTTTTCGCAAAAAAATCATATTTGTCAAAAATGTAAGCATTTTGCGGCCACGACGTAATCCATTGGTTTTGGCCAATCTGTTTTTTTTTTTTATTTGCATTTATTTTCGCTTGCAACGATTTTTATGTTGGGTAATCCACAAGTGTCTGTTAAGTAATCCTTTTGTCCTTTATTGCTTATAATATACACGGTTTTTGAACTTTTAAATTTAGTTTTTTTTTATATATATATTTTTTTTAGTTAATTTCAAATGTCACTTAATTATTTTCACTCAATATATTTTTTTTTTTAATTCTAGAAAATTTTGCAGGATTTTCAGGATCATTTTGGCAAACTTTTTTTTTATTTTCAGCATATCCCGCTAATCTACTTCTCTCTCGCTCGTATGCACGTTCGCTCGATCGCTCTCTCTCTTTCTAGCTATCGCTCTCACAACGCTGGCACATTCATGCCACACAGTGAAAACACAAAAGGAAAAAAAAAAATTTTTTTCACAGAAAAAATACACAACCAAGCAATAATCCAACATTAAGGTGTTGCACTTACGCGTTCGAAAGCCGTTCTGACCCACACAGCCGGCGCTGTTCCTTTTTATATGAGGCAATTTGATACCATACACTTCGCTTGGCGCCGACATTCGCCGAACCGTTCACGCTAAAGCGCCAAAAGCACACAAAACACCGACACACAAACGCCCCTGTTCGTGCTCTCCCCCTTCCGACCCAACCACCCACACATCGACACACACTGCCACGTTAACGCACTCTTCAACACTCTCACATCTGTATGCGTAGCGTATACTGTAAAAGTATGCGGCGCGGTGAGGCGAGGCGTGCTGTGGCGTATGAGCAATCCTGGTGGGTCTTCGCTCCCTTTTTCGGTGTACGCTGTCCGCTCATCATGCCAGCGACTACATGGGCGGTGTGTGCTGACCACTGGCGTCGTCGTTGTTGTTGCTGCGTTGTGTGGTTGTGTGCGTGCCAAGATCAGGTCGTGTTTGGTGCGCTCGTAAGTATGCGCTGTTATGACTCAGTTACTTCGGCATTTGTGCTGATGTGAATGTATTGGTGGTGATCATTGAAGTGATGCAATCGATTGCGTTAGTATAAAGTTAGCATAAAGTGTCAGGATCCGAAAGGGAGCACGAAAAGAGTGATCGTGAAAGCTTTCGGAGAGCGATGCACGACGCATTGGTGGTGAGCGCGTGAGAGTGTGCGAGCGAACGTGAGAAAAAACACAAACAAACATGTGAGAATGTTGTATGGAGCGCGCTCGGTATGAATCGGAGAAAGCTTTGTATTCTGCTGCTCATTTTGAAGATATGTAATAATATTTGCCATTCAGTGCATCTTCATATTCATAAAAATATGATTTCGAAATAAACATACTGTACATACATACTGTACGTATGTACATTTTGAAACAATACTTTGTATTCAATTGCAATTCGTATTCACTTTCATTACACTCCATATGAGTTCTCTGTATGAGTTCACACGGTATTGTTAGTGTAAAAGAAAAGCAAAGCTTTCTACTTTCTTCAGTGCTCATGCCCATGCAGCATGCGGGGGAAAGGGGACGCGGTGTTCACCGTTACCCCGACAGGGATAGGGAAATCGACGACAGCAGCACAAGGTGATTCCGCCTTGCTACTCTGCTATCGCCTCGAATCAGTTCGTATCGCTTCACATTACGAGCATATACATACATACTTATACAGGTACTTACTACCTACAACACAGATATCAGATATGCTCCGATCGCTTTACGATCTGGCGGTATGCTAACCGATGCTTCGCCAAAAAAAAAAAATATGCATAAGTGTAGGTATGTTTGTATGTACAAAAATCGGAAATCGGCTGCCAATGACACTTCGGTTCACCTAGCATTAGTTGTTATTTTTGTATTACTTAGAACATATATTTATATTTGGTTTAGCTTGGTATTCTTAGCTGCACATAATACCTAAGGCAACCATGTAAATATTATCAGCTGTGCCATTACGTTGTTTATGCATCTAGAATTAGCAGAACTCTTTATCAAGGTTGCTAATGCTTAATCGACAATCCATTATTTATTTCATATATCTATCTTAGGACGCGCTATTATTATGTATGTTTTTTGTTTTTGAAGTTCTATGCGGCTCTAAAATTAGCACATCACTATTTCGAAACTGATACAAAAAA